TGCAGTAGTCTATTGACAGCATCACTAGATGATCTGATGTAGAACCGTAAATCTGATTGAATCACAATTTACCATGTCCATCATAAATTCAGAATCTCACATTTAATCTGAAATTCCCAATGAATATTCATAAACCCAAAACTATTTTTAATGAATGATTTATTTCACTTGATGCTATCAGTCCACATGCACAATACTTTTTAGATTGATTATAGTTGTCGTGGATAGAAATGGTATAGAAACCAACAAGCAAAAAATGTATCAAACTCAAGCCAATTCGTTAAAGTCATGAACACGATACCAGCTTTGGGGATCAGAATGGCCCAGACATTCACCAACGGTGACAAAAGTGTATCCGAGCTTACGATACTTTTGAACGATTGCTTGAATACCAGAATGACCATTACTAACCCACTCATTATGAAGCGTGATGAACGAATGAGTTTGTGGACTAGCCCCAGAATGGTAGCTAATAGACTTGTCGAATTCGATGACTGCCTGTGTACCTGGATTACCTGCACTGGAAATGCCCGAGTCACCGCTATCCGCATTGTGATCAACAACAACATATCCCATCTCAATAAGATGCTTAATCAGAGTTGAAGTATAGGAACCATGAGGGATTCGCATGTAGAGTGGACTGAAGCCAATTGTTTGCTGAATCATCCAGTCATTATTAAGCATTTCAAAAGTCATTTGATCGAATGGAAGTCTGCCAAGTCTGGAATGGCACAGAGTTCCAGATCCAACTTGATGGCCCTCGCTATAGATTCTCTTCACAATGTTTCGTGCTCCATCATAGTGCATATTATTGGCGTTGAGTCCATTAACAAAGAATGTTGCTGGAGCACCAGCACTCTTGAGTGCATCAAGGACTCGTGGAATGTTACCAGAATCAGTACCTCCTTCAAATGTTATGGCAATCTGACCAGGGTTTACGCAACGAGTGTGAGCCTCAAAATAACTATCGTGACTGGGATGAGCTGGAACGGATGGTAAAAACCTCGTGATCGGAGGTTTGCAAATACCAAACAAACCTTGACATCCAATACCGCAATGAGCAGTTGAAGTTCCACAAAAGTTGTCACGCGAGCAACAAGATTCCGGTGGACATACTTTGTTGTATTTTCGTCCACAAGAATTGTTATCCGTCAAAGTGAACGAAGCCTTGATAGCAGAGCTAAGGTCACTTCCACATTCACCATACAAGGGATTGCATTGAGATATGCAGTGCGAAATATCCGATCCACAGTAATTGTACTCGGAACAGCATTGCGATCCCATGCATCTGCCATGTTTTGGTCCACATTGATTATTGTTTGAAATGACTTTTGTCCAGTCTTTATCGGATGATCCTGCATCTTCATCTTGTTGTTCCCGAGTTCCACTAGGTTTAGTATGAGGTGCAGTATCAGATTCAGAATCAGAATCAAAATCAGTATCAGATTCAGAATCAAAATCAGATTCAGTATCAGATTCAAAATCAGTATCAGTATCAGATTCAGTATCATATTTATCAACGAGCTTTGCAACAGGTGCAGGTACATGTACAGGTGCTGCAGTATCAGTATCAGATTCAGATTCAGTATCAGTATCAGATTCAGTATCATATTTATCAACGAGCTTTGCAACAGGTGCAGGTACATGTACAGGTGCTGCAGTATCAGTATCAGTATCAGTATCATATTTATCAACGAGCTTTGCAACAGGTGCAGGTACATGTACAGGTGCTGCAGTATCAGTATCAGATTCAGATTCAGTATCAGTATCAGATTCAGTATCATATTTATCAACGAGCTTTGCAACAGGTGCAGGTACATGTACAGGTGCTGCAGTATCAGTATCAGATTCAGTATCATATTTATCAACGAACTTTGCAGCAGGTACAGGTGCTGCAGTATCAGCAGATTCAACAGGTGCAGCAGATACAGTATCGTCAACAAGATCAGAATCATCAAAGAGTTCAATATCAGATTCAACAGGTGCTACAGGTTCAACAGGTGCGACAGATTCAACAGGTGCAGATTCAGTATCATCAACAAGATCGGAATCATCAAAGAGCTTTGCAGCAGGTGCAGTAGCGAATGCTGCAGGTTCGGCAGTATCAGATTCAACAGGTGCTGCAGATGAAACCACAGGTTCGGCAGATTCAGTATCATCAACAAGATCAGAATCATCAACAAACTCAATATCAGATTCAACCGGTGTAACAGATTCAGTAGATTCAACAGGTGCAGCATATTCAGTAGATTCAACCGGTGTAACAGACTCAGTATCGTCGGCAGGTGCAGTAGGAGATTCAACAGGCTCAGTATCAGATTCAAGATCAGAATCATCAACAAACTCGGTATCAGATTCAGCAGGTGTTGCAGATTCAGTAGATTCAACAGCTGGTGCTGCAGATTCAGTAGTGAATGCTGCAGGTGCAACAGATTCAGTAGATTCAACAGCTAGTGCTGCAGATTCAGTGGATTCAGTATATTCTGCAGGTGCAACAGATTTAGTAGATTTAACAGGTGCTGCAGATTCAGTAGATTCAACCGGTGTAACAGACTCAGTATCGTCGGCAGGTGCTGCAGATTCAGTAGTGAATGCTGCAGGTGCAACAGATTTAGTAGATTTAACAGGTGCAGCATATTCAGTAGATTCAACAGGTGCTGCAGATTCAGTAGATTCAACCGGTGTAACAGACTCAGTATCGTCGGCAGGTGCTGCAGATTCAGTAGTGAATGCTGCAGGTGCAACAGATTCAGTAGATTCAACAGGTGCTGCAGATTTAGTAGATTTAACAGGTGCTGCAGATTCAGTAGATTCAACCGGTGTAACAGACTCAGTATCGTCGGCAGGTGCTGCAGATTCAGTAGTGAATGCTGCAGGTGCAACAGATTCAGTAGATTCAACAGGTGCTGCAGATTCAGTAGATTCAACAGGTGCTGCAGATTCAGTAGATTCAACCGGTGTAACAGACTCAGTATCGTCGGCAGGTGCTGCAGATTCAGCAGTGAATGCTGCAGGTGCAACAGATTCAGTAGATTCAACAGGTGCTGCAGATTCAGTAGATTCAACCGGTGTAACAGACTCAGTATCGTCGGCAGGTGCTGCAGATTCAGTAGTGAATGCTGCAGGTGCTGCAGATTCAGTAGTGAATGCTGCAGGTGCTGCAGATTCAGTAGATTCAACCGGTGTAACAGACTCAGTATCGTCGGCAGGTGCTGCAGATTCAGTAGTGAATGCTGCAGGTGCAACAGATTTAGTAGATTCAACAGGTGCTGCAGATTCAGTAGATTCAACCGGTGTAACAGACTCAGTATCGTCGGCAGGTGCTGCAGATTCAGTAGTGAATGCTGCAGGTGCAACAGATTTAGTAGATTCAACAGGTGCTGCAGATTCAGTAGATTCAACCGGTGTAACAGACTCAGTATCGTCGGCAGGTGCTGCAGATTCAGTAGTGAATGCTGCAGGTGCAACAGATTCAGTAGATTTAACAGGCTCGGCAGGTGCAACAGGTGCTGCAGATTCAGTAGATTCAACCGGTGCTGCAGGTGCAACAGGTGCTGCAGGTTCAACAGATTCAGCAGGTGCTACAGCGGGTGCTGCAGGTAGATTCTTCACTTCACAATGACCATATCCGCGTTGACAATTCTTGCCACACGAGCTGGTTTCTCTGCTACAGGCTCCGTATTTGGAGCAGCACAGATTGTCTGGACAAACGGTTTTTGCTTTTGGACCGCATCCAAAGTTACTGGATACAGGCAGATTCAAGATTCCATCGTTGCTTGTAACAAACGGAGCTGATTTGGGTAAAACTAATCATTTATTTACTCGTGAGTATCCCAATCAACAGTATATACAACCATACATATTGTTGTTTTACCTTGAGCGCTACAAACAGCGGCAAACGCCAACACGCTGACTTTAAGCATAAGCATGATGAATTCTATATGCAATCAATCAAAAATCCGTAGTTGAAATGGTTGACTGCGAACAATATCCTGATATTGCGTTGGGGATGATGACCATTTAAATGTGTAAAACACTATGAAACGATCACCCTAAATCCCAACATCGCAATCATTCAAATATCCGAAATAAGCTCGCCCTTTTCAAGATTCCTGAGTACGCAGGTCAAAGCATATTGGCTGCATACACTTAAATAGGGGTTTGATGACCGTTGATAATGAGGGTGTGTGATCAGGGTTCTGGAGTAAGACAATGTCAATCAGCTGTGACAAAGTCGACAGCGGAGATTACCAACGAGTCGAAAACATCAAAATTTACAGTCTAAAATAAGCAATATAGTATAAACTGATTAGCCAATCATGACAGATTTGCTCAACAACGATTTGTGGAGTGCAAGATGACACGCCAACTGCCAACCAAGCCATGCAAGCTTAATGACTGCATGTTGTCGGCTGTAAATTAATATTGTTCGTATCTATAGCATCTGTTCCTGGACCAACTTATCCCAATCGTCATTTCTTCCATTGTGCTACTGCTGCTGGCTATACTGCCAACAATGGTGCTTTTCTTGGTGTTCCGTGCCGTACAATCTACGAAAATATGGCCGATCATGGAAACTCGTACAAGTTCTATTCTCCTCAACTCAAGTCTACACCACTGTTGTACCGCAATCTGCGCAACATTTACAACTGGATGAGAATCAAAAACATGAGCACGTTTTTTGAAGATGCCAGAGCCGGTTCATTACCCCAATACTCGTTTATTGATCCTGATT